AAGTCAAACTCGGATTCCATTTTCAATGACACTTTTTATTAGAAAAAAAAATGCGAAATATATATGCAAATCTAATTTTTCCGATATCATACTGCGCATCGATCTCACATGACGCCTATGCTAAACTTGAGTATGGGTTTGTTCCCATTTTTTCATAAGATCATCGAACCATGCAGTGCTTAAACGGCTTTCTAGAATACCACGACGCAATAGCTCTTCACTGATTCAACCATAATTTTATACAAGATGGAATAATTCAAAAGTTCGAGTTAGTATAGGTATTGAGTAATAAAAAAAAATTCACGTGCGTAACAATTTGTAACCCGATCAAGAAAAAATTTGTTAATACAAAATATACATTAAAAAATAAAGCTCGAATCTTTATTGATAAAATTTATTTTGAGTTGAAAAATTATAGAACTTCAGTCTTATTATTGAGCATGCGTTCTACATTCTTATAAAGAGGCGGGCTCTTTATCTTTAAACTTTGTCTTTAAGCTTTGACTTTTTTTTAGACTTAGACTTTGAATCATCTGTCGCTACTGGTGGCACTATTGCAGATGAATCTGACCCAACTATAGATGAAGATCCGGATGATAATCCGAATTTAAGGCTTTGCATAAAATCTTTTGCTTTTACAAACTTAGTCGACTTACTCATACTAGTATCATCTGTCGTTACTGGTGAATCAACTTTTGCTTTTACAAACTTAGTCGACTTACTCATACTAGTATCGATTTTTAAGACCCATTGTTGAACATTATCGAGTTTAGCGTCCTGTTTTTTGACCTTTCGAAAGCTCCTACTGTTCGCATCTTTTGTTACAATATCTTGATACTTATAAGTGTCATATATATCGTCCGGTACTACAAAGACTAAATAAATCGGGTTATTCCTTTTATAGGCCGGCATATTTTCAACTATATTAATTAGCTCGACTTGTTTGATTGGATGATTGTTGGACACCGTAACCTGAAACATCATATCTGGTGTGTAAAATAGATCTACCGCACCAAAATTTGATGTTTCAGGAAGGATAATTGTCTTATCACTTTTACTTGAAAGTTCCTTTGCAGTCCGAATATTACTAACTGTTGGCGATTTACCCATGGAAAATTCCTCAATATGTGTTGTCTTAGGGTCTTCCTGCAGTTTTCTCATAGCGTATACATCATTACTAGACCGGAAAAGATGGATTACGTACATCTCGAACATAATCCCTCTAGCATTGGGGTAGTTTCTCATCATTTGGATCCTCTCTAAAAGAAAGCTCCATGACTGTTTCTCTAGTCTTCTCTCGATCTCATCGTATATATAACGAGAAGCCCATTGAAGGTGATAATTATTATAAGAAGGATCTGGCCATCGATGAACAAGGCGACTGCTATATTGAACAAAATAGGCGTTTTCGGTGAAGCAAGCTATAAGATCGTCGAAGTTTTTAACTTGCAAAAGAGCAAATTCAACGCGTTCAAAAGCTTTCTTTATGATCATCTCTTTCCCTTCGGGTGTTTTTGGATCTAAATCATATTTCAATGAGCTTTCAACCCTCCGGAAAACGTATCTTGGCACACCGCCTGCCTTGTCATAAAGAGCTAACATTATGTCTTCAGGAACGTCCGGGAAAACGTGTTTCCGGCAAAATAACAACTCCTCTAGTGACCAAGGTGACATGTAAAATGTCTGTACAAGATCCTTTCCGAATTCTTGAAATTCATCTTTAACTACGCCTTTTGGCGATAAAGCAACCACCGTTTTCGCCGGGACTAACTTGGGAGATAAAATACCATCCGCTAGGTACCACGTTTCGGAGGACTGGAAGTGAGTTGAGAAATCATTATAACGACCGAAACTGAGATTAAGATCCTCAAAAAAGTAGAAGTCTTCGCTTTGAACTGGCTGAAAAATAATCGTGGGATTCTCGGATTCACACAGAAGCTGGATTAAGAAGTAAATCAAGAAGCATGATTTACCAATACCTGAAGTGCCGGTGACGAGGAACTTGTGATCGGAACTCTTAGAAGCTTGGTTGATCATTAGATGGTAAAGGTCCTCGTATTATTCTCTCACATATAATGCTGGCTTCTTAATCACTGCAAGAGGTTTGTTTTGAGGGTTTTTAATAATATTGGATGGGTTAACTTCTTCCTCTTTTATACTCATTCCTTCAATCTTATCTTCAATACTGGTTGAACTGGACGTTGATGCAATAACCTCTTTTTTACTATTTCGTAAATGTTCGATCAAATCACAAATGTTACTAAATTCCGCCTCTGAATAAAAAAGATAAAAAAGGAATGATTAATAAGTCATAGCTCATGGAATTTGACGACTCGTGTTAGTAAAAATTTACCTATGGTTTTTCCCTTTTTGGATTCTCTTGATTCAACAGAAGGAGAAATTGACCGTTTTCCTGTACGTGTCAGATGAAGGTGAAAAATACATTACAGAATATAAATCAAACAAGTATGTCACAATGCCAGGATAACAACTATCAATAAATCAACAAGGACAAATTTATTACGACTCACTTACCAGGAGTAGGTTGCTCTACAATAACGCGAATGTGTTTTTTTGGGCGAGTTTGACGATAAGAAGCAGGAAAGAAAAGCACAAGAATAAGTAAGTATTCAGTATTATTGGCGAATATGAC